ATGAATTGCCCAGTGAACGTATCCTGGAAGAATTGTAACTTTTTCTTTCATTTTAAATTAATTAATTAATTTGTGGTATTGGGGAGTGAACACAGGGCTTTCTCGCTGAGCTACATGCCCAGCCCTTTTAATTTTTTTTTTATTTTGAGACAGGGTATTTGTTACGGTTTAGAACTAAAAAGTCCCCCAAGTCTCCTGTGCTTGGAAGGTGACTGGCCTGTGGGAATGCATCCTCCCCAGGGGACCTGTCCAGGGAGGAGCTTCTAGCTGAGGGTGCTGTTGGGAGGATTCCTGGTGGGGCAGTCACTAGAGGAGTGACCCCAAAAGGTGCATTCTTTCCTGGCTTCTCTCTTCTCTCTGTGCTTCCTGGCTTGATGGAGACCGCTATAAAGCAGCCCTGAGCAGGACTTAAATTAACCAATTGGCTTTTTTATGTTTACTTGTGAATCTGTCCAAAGCCTAGGCCTCTTGTTTGGAAGTGGGCAATCACTTATAGTAAGTGAACCTCCATGAGTCACTAATCCCTACTAAAACCTATAATGGTGGATGAAGTAAAAAAGCCTCAAAAGATAAGACAAAAATCATAGCCAAGGACACCTGGATCCAGTTTCAACTAGATGAAGACTATAGCTGCAGGCATCTCACTCCTGGGTGGATTAACTTAATCCTTATTAAGGATTAATTTAGTACATTACTTGGAGAAGTCCTTGAGTAATTCTGCCCTTCTTGAGTATTCCCCTTTCTTCTTCTGATAACCAAATAAATATGGGCCACTCAGAGAAGGTGTTGGTCTTAGCCCAGAGAAAATCTAGAATTCCATGAGAGGGCTTTGGTCCTCCTGGAGCCCTGAAATCATTCCATCTGCCTTTTTTTATTTAGATCTGATCAGTCTGTAATAACTAAGGAATATTATTAACCCAATATGGGTTGCCATGGGAACTGCAGTCTTCCTCCTCTTCCTTTGGCTTTGCTCTTTCTGCGTTTGAGTCAGCCAACATCAAACTGAATCCTCTGAAAACTGTGAGCCAAAATAAATCTCTCCTGATTTAAATTTTGGGGGTCAGGCATTGAGTCTCCCACTCACTTGAACATGGGTCAGCCCCTCTGACCTTTGTCCTAAGGCCTACTTCCTGGAGGTAGAGTTAAGAATAACAAAGACCCCCGGGAAATTCTGAAATTCCATGATATGACTTATAGCTCTTCAGCCCTCAATGAGCTCTTCACTGGGAGCTCACTGAGAGCTCTGCACATGGACTGCATCTCACTTGTTCATTGTAACGGAGTAAGTTATGGGAAAAGACATATGCAGTAGACACAGCTGACATGACTCGGCACCCTGTCAATCATGCTGTCACTCATGGTCTGGAAGACCCAATGGGAGGTGCTTTAGGCCCAGCACAACACTTCAAATCCTTCAGCACTTGGGCCATTTCCCTTTCTACTGGCATGAACCTGCTCAATCTGAGCAAACCTTTGCCTTTTGAATTTCATAGGAACATAACACTGGGTCCAGCAGGCCCATCCCTTACTTTTCTACTGTATATTTGTACTTTAGTGTAATAGTAGCAGGCTATACCTCTTAGAACCTTTCCCTGAGGGATACAGGAAGCAATCTATGTGTTTACTCACATAGTATGATGAATGGCAAGGTGTGTGCACATGTACAAAAGTGGCAAAATAGAATTTTTACCCACCTTATGCTCCATCTAGCTAGTTTTGCATATGTTTACCTGAGTATCACAGAGGATCCAATAGGCCCACACTATTACAGGATTTGTTAAAAAAGAGTTTTCTTTTCATCTTTCTGGTAGAAGTAGCCCAATTCAGTACAACAGCACATGAAAAACCAGATTTGCAAGTTTTGTAGAAGTCAAATCTGACTCATCACATTATTCATGCATGGATGATGAAGATGATCATTATGGTAAAATACATGCTTTCATAATAGAAGAATGGTGTGAGTGGATGATGATGATGATGATAATGATGGCTTTGATGTTGGCCATATGAGCAGTGGAATGGAGCAAGAATCAACTGATACAGACACTTGATTGTGTCCTTGATTCAGATGATGAAGAAAACAGCAATGTGAGTACATATTTGACTAGTCAAAATGTTGCAAAATGGCCACACAACCAAATGAAGTGATCCAATGTTAGAACTAGATCTGAAAATATAGTGATGGTGTTGTCCAGGGTGAGAGGTATTGGATAGAATCCCAGTACTTCCACTCACTGTTAGAAATCATAACAGATGAAATGTTACAAGATGCTGTGAAATACACAAAAGCTGAAATGCAAGTAAAATGTTCTGTATGCACCAAGGGTCATATTAAAAAATATATTTATTAAGACACCTTACTATTTGAACTGAAAGCATTCATAGGTTTGCTGTACTTAGCAGAGATTTCTCATGGTGATTGTAGGAATATAAAAGACTTATTGAAGAGCAATGGGTCAAAATATGACATAAAAATTTACACCTATGCAATGTGAAGACTTATTATGGTTTCATTTTAGGCATTTATCCTGGAACTCAGCCATTGGTCTTTGTTCATACAGTAATAAACCAAATGATGTGAACAGACTTGTTGCTCCCCTCTCCCATACTAATCAGAATGTGACATTTGACAATTGTTTTACTAGTTTCCGACTGATGTTACATTTGCTAGCAGAGCACAAGTTGACTAGCACAGGAACTACATGAAGAAACACAGCAGAAATTCCAAATGAAATGCTGTAATTTCAAAACAAAGAATTGTATAGTATAATCTGTGGATTTCAGAAAGATACAATGTTGGCCTTGTATAAGGCAAAGAAAAACAAACTGGTACCGCTGATGTCAACATTTCACCAGGATGGAAATAGTGATAGGGAAACCCTGACAACATGGAAGCCTGAGATGGAAATTTTCATCAACAAAACCAAAGGTGGTGTAAATGTTGTTGATGAGTTATGTGGCAACTATGATGTCACTTGAAACAAGAAGCATTGGCCAATGCTTGTGTTTTACTTGACCCTAAACATGTATGGCATAAAAGGATGGATAGTTTACAAAGAAAATGACAAGTGAAAAATATCACAGAGAAATTTTCTTAAGGGGATTGGGACTGGAGCTCATTAGAGATCATTTATAGCAGAGGAAACACAAAATGTTTCTGCCCAGAGAACTATACAAAAAATTGTGGAGCACACTGTTGAGCTGACAGGTGAACAAGAAGGCACAGCATCACAAAGACCTACTACAGCAACAGGAAAACAAAAAAGATGTCAGCTGTGCCCTAGAAGGAAGTACAGGAAAACAAAATATATGTGCTGTCAGTGTAAGCGATACTTGTGTATGGAACATGCAGTTGTCATGTGTGAAGGCTGCCTTGGGTGTGAAGCAAAACTTATTTCTGTGGTAGACTTTTGTTTGTGTTTACACTGTAGTTCAGATAGGTTTTTACTTTTGATGTTATCTTTTAGGTTTTGTAAGTAAACAGCTGATGTGAAAATGTTGATATTCATTCTAAGCACTCATTACATATTTGATGTTGTATTTTATTCATATCTTATTTCTCTGCTAAATGCATGTTATACAATATAGTAGGTAGCTTCTGACAAAACAGGAAGGTAGGTGACAAGACTCCCACATAGGAAAGGAAAGCTAAGCACATGTGCTGTCAGTGTAAGCGAGATGTCTGCATGGAACATGTAGCAGTCATGCATGAAGACTGCCTTGGGTATGACATTTGAAGCAAAGCTTATTTTTGTGGTAGAGTTCTATTGGAATTTCATTGTCGTTCATATAGGAATTTGTTTCTGATGTTATCTTTTAGATTTGGTAAGCAACTATAGAGCTGATGTGAAAATGTTATCTGTTCTAAATGCACAATTCATATTAAGAATTTAATGCTTTATTTTATGTTCCTGTTAACTACACACTGTACAATAAAATAAAAACCTCCTGACAAAACAGCAAGGCCACTGAGATGTCAAGTATGTCCTACAAAAAGGCCAGGAGAACAAGACATGTGCTGTCAGTGTAAGCGATGTGTGTGTATGGAGCATGCGGTTGTCATGTGTGTAGACTGCCTTAGGTGTGATAATTGAAGTAAAGGTTTTTTTTTTGTAAAGTGTTATTGGAATTTTCATTATAGTTCATATAAGAATTTATTTGTGTTGTTCTTTTTTAGACTTTTTACACCAAAAAAGTTAATGTTGAAAATTTTGATGTTTTTTATAAACAATAAACATTTAAAACTTAATACTTTATTTTTTGATTGTTTTTCTTGTTAAGTACTCATTGTTTAATATAACAAAGCTCATAAAATGAAAATTAATAATTCATCAATAGAAATATTCTGAAGAATAAATGCGGGTCCGGCAGACCTATGTTTCTGTGCCTTTAAGACAAAATTTGTGTTATGCTCCTATTAAACTCAGCTACTTTTTCCTTAACCTTGTGCCATGTCCAGTTTTTGGTCAGGAGCAGGAACCTGGAAACCTGTCCTGGGTACCCATGGTAACAGCCCTGGGCCACTACACCTGGCTAGAATTGTGACTTGTAATCATGGCCCAAAGCATGGTTAGGTTAGGTTTTCTTTTCTTTTTCTTTTTTTCTATTACCCTAACATGGGCCCCTTGTTACACTGTGTTGTAATCAGCATTATTATTATTATTATTATTTTTTGGTACTGGGAATCGAACTTGGGACCTCATGCTTGTCAGGCAGGCGCTTGTTCCACTGAGCTATCTCCCCAGCCCTACACTGTGTTGTAACAACCTGAACTTAGGTTTGCAAGGACAGGAAGGAAAGCTTCAACCAATGAAAGGAACAGACTCACCGGCTTCCTTCTGCATCGTGTTTTGTACCCTTTTTTTAAGCCAGCAAGAATGCAGCTGTAAGGGCCACCATGAACCTCCCAGCAGCCTACAGAGCTTTCATGGTTAATTAAAGCCCCAGACACGTGGCTGGTTCTCACAGTGTACTGTGGCCCATGGGACTCAGTGACTTACCTGCTGCAGCCTCTTTGTTTGGAAACAACTTGTTGTCAACGGCCAGGCTGATGTCGTAGAATACTTCATCCTCATTTCGGTCGGCGTCAAACTGGGGAAAGTCAGGACAGGTAAGTTTGAAATGTGAGAATATGTAAAGGAGGTAATTCCAAACAAAGACAACTGATACAGATACAACTGTATCTGTGAAGAAGTCTGAGAACAACTTAAACATCTGAGTCTTCAACAGACATGTAGAGGGGTTTTAAAGCCTAGATCTCCCAGAACTCAGGAGGCTGAGGCAGGAAGATGCCTGCAAGTTCCAGGCCAGCCTGGGATCTCATATAAAATAGGGAAGGCTACTAAGAAGCAAATGTGTGTTCACTTATTTTATTTTATTTGTTTTGTTGAGACAGAATCTTAGTATTCCAGGCTGGCCTTGAACTTAGTACATAGCCTAGGCTGGCCTTGAACTTGAGGTGTCCTTCTGACTTGTAATTCAGCCTCCTGAATGCTGGGATTACAGGTGTGCTCCACCCCACCTGATGACGGATCTTTGAGCTTTGTTCTGGAATGTAGCTCCTTAGAAACAGTTTTAGGCCTTCCTGTAAGATTTGTTAGGCTGAACCAGGGAAGTGCTTAAAGTCAGCTCTTCTGAGCATCCCGCCCAGTGCCTTGGGGTTGAAGAGGTTTCCAGCCCCTGGAAGACACAGGTGGATTCCCAGTCTGGCATGGGCACAGGCTGTGTCATGGTGGATCCTCTCAGATGGTTTTATTCCTGGCCTCCCGTGATCCTCACGCACGTGCACACAGATTAGGACCCTGCTATCCTGGCAGTGCGCCTCCAGAGCTCTCTCTGCTGCTCATCTCTGCCCCTTTTGTTCTGCAAAGGATGCAGCCACCTCAGCATCTGGGACCCTAGGGCCACCTCCTCCACCTGTGGGCCCACCAGCCTCCCAGGGCTTCCTTCCGTCTCTGTGGCTCTGAGACTGCAGGCGGCCACCCGAGAGGTCACAGGGTCACCACGGCCGAGTCCTTGCTCTCATGGGTCCCTCCACTGCTTGACGTCCACTGTCTTGAACATAGTTTTCAACTACCTTATTTTCTGCTTATTTATCAATCGACTGTTTCATGCGGGAAAGAAAATCCAATCTCTTTCACTCCATCTTGGTCAGAATTGGATCTTTCAACTTTGCAGCTTTTTCTTCTTTGCACTACTAGGGGTTTAAGCAAGGGCTGCAGGCATGCTGGGGAAGTGTTAAAGCACGGAGCTGCGTCTCCACCCCCTCACTGCCTTACGGCACTGGGGCTCAACCCAGAGCCTTCGCATTGAGCCACATCCCCAGCTTTTTGTTTTCAATTTTGAGATGGGGGTCTTGCTAAATGGTCCAGACTGGCCTTAAACGAGCTCTTCTCCTCCCTCAGCCTCCCAAGTAGCTGCGATTATATTTTCCATGCCCAGAAAGAAAAAGCTCTTGAGCTACAAGAATCTAGGCTGATCAATTTAAAATACAAATGATAGTAGAAATGATAATGCTTCAGGGACAGTATGGGTAAAGAAAGACAACATTTTCTAAGACTAAAAGTTTATTTATATCTCTTAGGCCAGGAAAAAGTTCAGGGAGATATAATTATGTAGCAATAGACCAGATGATGTCTAAAGTTGCTCTTAGCTCTGAAATTCTGTGGTTAGAGGATGGCATTTTATCTGTTAAGTGGTGGGTTCCAAATGTCTCGCAATCTTAGGGAAACCTTTCTTTTATTCTGAGGAGCAGAACTCAAGAAGGATGCAGCCAGCAATCTTTTTCATGGCATTTAATGTCAGAGGGCTTGGCGGGTCAAGTGAAAATTTCAAGATAAAATGTTGAACAAATTTGCTAGTTCACTCACAACATGTGTTTGGATTTGAATAGCAAATTGTGTAACAGCTTGCAAAGGCATACACAATATATTTAGATTAGGAAAGGAAATTATAGTAGAGGGAGTAGAATTATGCACCATGGGAGGTGTAACTGACAATGAGGATTTGCATTTTTAATGGTAGAATGACTGTTTTTTTTCTTTTTGGCTGATTTGTGAAACTCCATAAGCCATCCTGGTCTTCTCCCTAGGCACAGGGCTTTCTGCGCTCTCTCCTCTGCTAGCCAGCAGCGTCAGCTCCATAAAATACCCTGAGTGAGCTAAAAAGGATCTTACCAATCCTACCTCTCCTTCAAGATTCCACCTTTGATCAAACTCGGGTCTGTCTCCCTTTTTGTTCTCTTCATGATTTGAAGAGAAGATAAATTGGCTCAATTTTTAGTATTATTTCAATTTTTTATTTCTCAGACATGTCATTCTTCAAGCATTAAATGAATCTCTATACATTTTTACTTCTGTCTTCTGTCTTACCCCAGAAAGAGTGGGCCATTGCATGAAATCAAATAATAACAAATGCTGGTGGTGAGGCTGCTGGGGGGAAAAGGAATCCTTCTGCATTGTTGATGTGAATGTAAACTCGTACAACCACAATGGAAATTCCTCAAAACACTAAAACTAGAAACTCCATTTGACCCAGCTATTCCCCTTCTAGGTATCTTCCCCAAAGACCTACAGACTTCATACCACAGTGATCCATGCATACCTATGTTTACACCAGTACAATGCACGACAGCTAAATCTTGGAAGCCGCCTATGTATCCACCAACAGATAAATGGATAACGAAAATACAGTATTTATACACAATGGACAACTACTCTGCCATAGAGAAATATAAACTTAAGTCATCGGTAGGAAAATGGATGCACCCTGAGACCATAAAGCTAAGAGAAATAAATCAGACACACAAGCTTACCTATCACAGTGTTTCTCCAACATGAGAAACCGAAAGTGAAAATAAACTAAGGGGCAAAATAAAAGAGTGATAATAACAAACAGGGAGACAGATCTTTTGCAAATGGGAAGGGAACCAAGAGACGGAAGGGGAGAGGGGAAGGGAAAGGAGATAAAAAAAGAATTAAGAGGCGTTATGTACATGGACCAACTCCCCACAAGGAAGATGGCCATTATGTACCCCAAATGCACACTCACAAAAATTTTTAAGTTTTACTTCTCTGCTACACAAGGGATGTTTTTATTGCGCTCTTCCTGTTTGCTACTAGAAATCCCTCACTAGGTGACTAGCTGGTCCCTCAAGTGTGCTCTTTTCTATCTTTGGAGATCTCCTTCTAAAGGACTCATTCATTAGTATTCTCTTTGCAGTGACTTTGTTTTCTTCAACCAAAACTTGGAGATTATACTAAAGTAGTAATATATTATTTTATTTTTACTTTTTGTCTTTCTGAGACAAGGTTTCACTAGGCAATTCAGGCTGGCTTTGAACTCACTTTGCAGTCCAGGCTGGCCTTCAACTCAGTGATCCTCCTGCCTCAGCCTCCTGAGTGCTAACATTAGAGGTGTGTGCTACTGTGCCCCACCTTAGTAATACTTTAAAGATTCATGGTGTGTCTGGAGGGAATCTGCAGTGATCCGTGTTGGGATAATGACTGTTGATATGATTTTGCACATCATATTTCTAAAGCTTCTTAAATAATCATAAAACCTCCAAAGAAACACCTGATCTATATGGGGATGGGGTAAGGTGGGTAGGGGCAGCCCTCTATCTGAGTAACCCAGAGCGGCCCTTTGTTTGGGTGAAGATGCTCTAGTGGCCCTGTCGAACCAAGCTTGGTAGAATTTATTATTTCTTAGCAGAATGAAATAAGGGCAAGATACAGAAGAAAGCTCTGAACACAGACACGATCATAGGCAAAGGGATCATACAGAGCCGCTGAGAGCTGGGACATCTGAGTCAGCATTATTTTCTCAGTCTCCTGCACAGGACCTTTATTTCACTGGATATTCAGGCTCCAGACAGCAGCTAGAAAATTTCCTTGGGAAAAGCCAACATAAGAAAGAGATTCCAGAGAGAACTGTTTTGTGACTTGTTTTAAGAAAAAAAAAAAATTTCTCCCTGAACTTGAAGCTTTAACAACAAGTTTGAAGTATTTTTCTGTAGAAAGCTAGAAAAGAAGTCTAACTCAAGATAATTTTGATTATAACATTAGCTCAGAAAACATCTTTAAGAATCCTGGTCAGCACCCAACGCCAACTGGGCTCTAAATAAAGCACCAGATAACATCACCCCCAAGAGACTGTGATGTGTCTGCCTGCACATAGCCCTGCTTTGGCTGCTGGGAGTGCTGAGGTCATCTAGTGTGGACTCTGTTTTTCCACTCAGGAATCACAGGAAGAGGCACCTCCTTTCCAAGAGCCTCTTGGGGCGAGAGAAGAGATTTCCACGTGGGTCCATCACGGGCCTGCACTTTCTCTAGAATCTGCCCCGGTCCTGCCCCAGGGCTCGGGCACCATCACCCTGGCGCTGGGCTCTGCTCAGCCGCCTGCCCTATCAGAGCCCCACTGGACAGCAAGCCCTGAAGGCCCCTTTGCAGGGACATCGGCTCCTGTGGGCAAGTCCAGAGTCAGCCCGGCCACAGGAAGCGGGGAGCAGCGGGGTCTCAGGACATGTGGGAAGCTGCTGCCCAGAAAGAATGGTCCAGATGTAAAGAATCGAAGTCGACAGAGGGAACCAGTTACGGGACGATGTCTGAGCGGCAGGGTGGGGATCTGCCATGGCGACTGTGTAAGTTTTGTAGACACAGGTGCAGCCCAGAGCAAGCCCCTTCCGTCTGCCCAATGTGTGGGTCACGGATGGACACACAGGGCCTGAGAGTCTGCTTGCTGACCGTGGGCTCTGTGACAGGACACGTCTAAGGCTCACTTGCTGCAGAAAGCACACAGAAGGCCCATACATTTACAGGAGGCGGCAGAAGGAAAGCCCAACTTAGTCAATGCCAGAAGGATTTGAGATATTAAGGTAAGACCAATTACAGGAGTCACTGCTTCTCACTCAAAAGTCCACTAAGAGTCTACGGCCACACCACCCTGAACACGCCTGATCTCGTCAAAAGTTCACGAAGAAGTGAATCTGTTGCCCAGAAAATAGACTTTGCCAACTAAATAAACTTTCAGAATATGTCTTGGGATAAACATAAATGTATTGGATTTCTCATACCCCCTACATCCCACAATTC